AATTTGATATATTGATTTACATAATGAAATAATCAATTAAATAAAAATGATTTCTATATAATTAATCAATTTAATATATAAAACAAAAAAATAATAATTTATTTTGTGATTAATAAAATTCAAACAATTTTTTTCATGATATTCTTAATAATATATCATTTTTAGTAAAAATATCTTTTTATGTAAAAATAAAAATAGAATTTCTCAAATAAATGAATATTATTATTGATAATTTATTTTGAGATTAATATTTTCCTAAATAAATAATTATTATCATTATATGTGTTATATAAAGTATTAAAATATATGAAAATTTTATTCTTATTAAAATAATTTGAGAATTTATTTATTTTTAAATAATTTTTTTTATTTTTATAGAAATAATTAGCTTTAATTCACTCGAAGAGAAATTAATTTTAATATCTAATACCTCAACTTTTGTATTTCTAGACATAACACTCAAATCTTTATTATCACCTCCAAAATATACTGCTATTCAAAGGGGTTTGATCTCATTTGACAAAATTGGTTTGAGAGATGATTTTACTATGTCATATTATTCTTTGTAACAAAATTTTTAATTCTTCAATTATGCTATTTTTACATAAATTTATAATTTATTACGTCATTTGGTTGAATCCATGGTTCAACCTTAGTTCAACCTTTGATTTTTAAACCTCTTCCTTTATGGGCTCAATGTCTCGTTCGATTTCAAAATCGTGAGAATATGTCGAGAAGGATCATGGCACTGGAATCAATAATCGACGGATTAGAAGATGCAAAGCTAGTGAGTGTCATCAGAATGTTAGCTTGATGAATATGAAAAGTCGACGGGCCAGAAGAGAACTGACTAGATCCAATTAGTTCGATCAAGAGCTCCATTTGACTCTTAATGGAGTCCGGTGATTCTGTGATGTTTCAATTAGGAGTCGAATGTACTATCGTGGCTTCTGAGGTCGTAGCGAGACCCTTACCAGCGATGGATTTAGTTGAAGGTTTATTTATTAGTTTCCTGTGGAGTTTTCAATACTTTTCACACGTTTAATTGAGTTTGTGACAGTAATCACAATTGAAGTGATTGACCCGTGATTACGTGGAGGAGGGTTGAGCACTATTAGAGACCAAGACGGACAGTTAGACTAAAGAAGTCAAAGTGCCGAGCATGACAAGTCTCCAAATTTCTTTGTGGCATACCTCGGTGAATGCAGTATGAGTTGAAGGAAGCGGATCCCGACCAAAATATGACCTCGGACTTCATCGAGATCTTTGTTTAGACCCGCTAGGATTTGGAACACATGATCCTTTTCCACAATTTTCTAGAAGAGGGAGAGATCAGCCGGAGAGTCCCATGTGTAGTCGTAGTAGAGATCACATTTTATCTGTAAAACCACCAAGTCATTGTAGTACTAGGTCAAGGTCTTTGATCTATGTTTTGCCTCGCAGATCTTGTTGGAAACCTCATAAAATTGGTTTGAGTTTCCTACTCCGAGTAGGTTCCATAGTGCACTTGCGAACGAAAGTAATAGATACAATGGTCAATCGTAGTCCTCATGGAATTGATCGGCAGAGACATGACCATAGAATTCTTCACTTCCCACGCTCCATACACTGGGTCAATTTTCAGAGATTTATGAATCATCTATGTGTGATCACCGAACTTTTCACACCCTTTGACTAACGATGAAACGACTTTGGATCATTGGAGAAAATTTGAGTCGTTAAGTTTAGGGGTGGTGATCAAGAAGTTCATGTGATTTTCTGGTCCTCTGGTCTGCAGAGGGATTGTGGTTGGTGTCGACCGTCAGAAGAAGGCTCGATGGCGAGGTTCGCTATGATTCTCACAGAGCTGAAGATGAGTCTTGAATTCCTATAGACATAGACGTAGATGATCCCTTATGCAGCATACAACAAAAAACAGGGTTTGCTGGTGACAAATTGACCGGTAGGAGGGATCTCTGCCGGTAAGAGATCTGATTCGTTTGACTTAAGGGTATCAAGTTGGCAAGGAAGGTTGTGGCTGAAAGAAACTGTAGAAGATCTGGTCGGTAGGAAAAAAAGCTGTAGGAAACAACGATTGAAATCTGAATGACTGCAGGAGATCTGGCCTACAGGAATTGGCGGCTGGAGGGCCTGCAAGAAGGATAGGAGTCCAGCAGCTAGAGAGCCTGCAAGGAAGGCGTGGCCAATAACAGAATAAACTACCGAAGAAGGCCTGCAGGAAGTTCCGGTGGCTAGGGTTTGATCCGTTGCTTTGATACCATGTAAATTTTGTGAATAGAGCAGATAATATTATTAAGTAGCAAAATGGTATAAATATATGATACAAGATGTATAGAAAAGGAATTATATAATACTCAAATCTTTCTTAATAACACCTAAAAGATTAAAAAAAAAAAAGGCACAAATTAGGAAATACATATAAAAAGAAATAGCAGGAAAGACAACAAAATAAATAGAAATAACTTCTAATAATTAACTTCTAATACACTCTGAAAAATCATCCAAAAGTAAAGCTTTCATCACCCAGGAGTAGTTCAATTTCTTTTTACATTATTTATAATGTTATCAAATATCACTATTTTGATACCACTTTCAAGGATGTGTCTCATTTGTAGTTCTATTCCTCGCCTGCTGCAAGCATCAGCTCCTTTGAGAAGTTCTCTTATTATTTTTATTTTTATCTCAATACTTTATGAACGTTAAGCACTTTTGATGTTGATTACTGGAGGTATCTTGACATACTCCCCTCGCATTGATGATACTTTTTTACCATAACACTTATGCAGGAACATGTTATAAAATTTCTTTGTTATGCAGAAACATCACTCATGATCAAATATGATGAACCACCATATTACATAGAAGAAGATCAAGCATTATAAAGAGAACTCAAATATTTGTATAGTTAAACTTAATAAGCCTTTATCTATGGTTGATGAGAGAGGAGATATGATCTATGAAAGAGAAGCTACAAAATGGTATTTAAAATAAGGGCACTCACCAACCATTCCTCGAACGCAACTATGCTCACTCTCAATAAGGAAAAAGATGCTCCAAGCTTTTTAAGGCAAAAGAAAGTAACAATAAAGAAAAATTATTCAACCAAGATTAGAAATTTATTCATTTCCAAGTTTATCAAAAAGGTACTACCTTTATACGTATATATGAATTTAGTTTGAAAATTTTGTTGCAACAATGCATTCTGTTCGTCAGGATGACATTCCATTGTAAAATTTAATGGGCGAGACAATGTGCTAAAATAATAAAAGTTAAATGGTCAAATTGAAAGTCGATTTTTTAAAGCTTCTAATGCTAACGCCCTTTAGAGTTAACCTCATTCAAAAAATAATGTTACTTGGCATATTCACCATCTTATTCACGTACAATTAAAGCCACAATTCATGTGAGATATTAGTAATAAGTTATGTGCAAAGCACTTCAAATCTGCTGTAATGAATGTTTTGCACCAAACAATGAAATATATTTAGTCATACTTAAATATTCTTCGCTTTTTCTCATTACTGTGGCGGTAAGCTGAAATTCCTTTTCAACTCCCCTTGTAGTTATGTTCATTCAACACATGGTTGATCCCTAAACCTTACTTTTTATATTTATAACACCGAAATCTTTCATATTGCATAAAAATATAACTATTTTAACTTTTTGAAAGTGAAATACACTTTTTCATGTATAGGTAAGGTGGCATATACGTAAAAATTGAAGTTTAGGTGTTGGATATGTAAATACATAAGAATTGAGTGAGTGGTACTTATGTAAATTTTCCTTATACATAACCACCAGAATATGGCTCTTTAGTGTAAAAAATTTTCTTATCAGGGCACATAAGTGAACAGGATGAGTCCAAAATCCACATTTTGCATCTTTTCACTGTAGTCATCAAAAGAGCTTAATCTATATTCCAACAAGAACAAGCTACAGGAACATTCATGATTACCGATTTGTAAATCATAAGTTATCCTTCCGATTTTCATTTGATTGCCGCTACTTTATTTTCAATGCATGACAATCTCTCTTACCACCTGCTAGAATAGTTTGGAGTTGAATTCTTTTGATCCAGGGAGAATAGTTGCATAGTTCCAAGACTTCAGTAATTTTCACGTGTAAATTTTCAGGTTGTTTGGGATATTTTTTTGTTTTTTATTTTTTATTTATTCTTTTTATTTTGTCCTGTTTATATTTTGATTTGTAATAAAACTTATTGGCTATCTGATTAAAGTATGGTTGTTTTTAAAAAGTCAAAAGACTTAATTGTTATTTTGAGTGTTTTCAAAAATATGTTAATTTGATTTTAAGAGTAAAAAATAAAAATACGTAAAAAAATACAAATAAATATATTATAAAAACAAAAATAAAATATAAAATTAATCCCAAACAAACCCTTCGTTATTTTGAGCCAGCCTTTTCCATTTTGATTCTTTTGGTGTCCTACAGATATCCATCCTCTTGTTCTCTCTGCTCTTTATGTCTAGATAACAAGGATTTTTTCCATTTCCTTCAATTAACTTTCGGTGCTCATTTTTTATGAAAATACAACACAAGTTTCAATGAAATTTTTTTATCCAATAATGGTTAAAGCAATTACCCGTCTTTGATTAAACTTATTGTACAAGTCTGTTTTCTCCTGCTGACTGAATTTGTCTCAATTTCCATCAGTTTTTCCATCAATATATATTTTTTTCTAGGGCCATTTACATAAATACCACCCAATTCCTATGTATTAACATATATAACACCTAAATTTTACTTTTTACATTTATACCACCCAAATCTTTCACATCACATAAAAAATACCACCATTTTAATTTTTAAAAAGTGAAATGCACCTTTTCATGCATAGGTAATGTGGCATATAGGTAAAAGTTGAAGTTTAGGTGCTAGATATGTAAATATATAAGAATTGAATTGTATGTATGTTAATTTTCCTTTATTTCTATCATCAATCACAAACCTTTCAGTCATGTTATTTTGTTGTATTTTAGCGTTGGGACAATGAGGCTGAAAGATCAAAGGTTCTTGAAGAGAAGCACGGAAGGGGAGCCATAGCAAGACATATTAGAGCATCCACCAAAGCAAGAATTAGTGCAGGTATGCGTTTTCTTAAAATTATGAAACTTTTGCAAATTCATACAAGCTGAATAATTGTTGTGCCATGCTTATAAACCCTTCAGGAATTTGAACTTTTGGGTACTTTAGGAATCAGTGAATATATTCCAAGATTTAACTCATATATTTGAACTTTTGGGTACTCTTTGTAAGGAGTCATTTTAGCCCCATAGTCTATAATAATATCAATTTAGTTCCCAGATTATTTTAATACGGGATGAAATAATCCCCTTGGATAACTATTTCAACCCCAATTTAAAGAGTTTGAGACTAATTTGACACGATTATAGCATATGGGATTAAAATAGTCCCATGTAAACAGCCAGGGGACTATTTTGGCACCTCACTCCTTTTTAATTATCTCCTGAAGCCATCCATCTTATAAACCCTTCTAGGAATTTAAGCTTGGGGAGGCAACTTTTAATCCTTAATAAAAATGCATGTTCTCTTAGTGCATGTGGTCCATATTCTATTTCAAAAATAAAGCAGATTGTACTTTTTTATTTAGATGCATTCTGGTTCTTCATAATAACGTATAAGTCAAAATAAGAATGATATTTCAAAATGTAACTCTAATTTGCCATTTCATTCCTGTGTACATTTACATTGAAAAATAGTTGTTTTTAATATATGATTAGGAATTTTTGTAGAGGGCAAAATGATAGATTTGTAGGTTGCATTGAAGCTATTCGAAGTTATTATGAAGGTCAATAGATCAAATATTTCACAGAAAAAAAGTTGAGCAAGAAAAACAAGTTATTTACTACGCGTATCTAAAAAGAAGATATGGCTTATACAGTACAAAAAGTTGAGCAAAGCCCTAAGGAAAAACTGATTACAAATTGCTGTGAGGGCAAAGCAGAAACAATGAATTAATGCAGGAAGTAAAGTACTTCAATTTTATTAATCGACAAATAATAATTTAAAAATTAACAAATATAGGTAATCCGAATTTAGTCAAGAATAATACAAATATTTGCCTTAAAAAGTGGTTTGTATTCTTTTATTTTGAACTTCAAAATTATTTCTGATTTTGAGTCTAGCAAAATATTTGTTTTTTGCATATTCCTTGAATGTTTATACTACTTTTGTAAAAGACATATTTAGAATAGAAGTCTTAGGATAGAAATTAAGGTTATCTTGGCTGCATACTTCCTTTAAACTTAATAAACAAGCTCATGAGTTTATAGCCAAATGTGAATCCCATGAAAACTTGAAACATTAATACATTTTACTATTATTGTTGCCAAGGCTATCAATAGTAAACTAAAATAAAGATAAATTTGAATTAATTTCTCACCAATTTCAATAATTCCATCCTTAGTTCAAAATTCAATCAACAAATTTGATTAAAATTTGATCTCAAATTCAAATTGTATATTGCATATTTTACACATTTGTTGAATATTTGCAATACCTTTGTAAGAGATATTTACGGTCAAAGTTTTACTATCGAAAATTTGTAGAATCTTAGAGATGTATTTCAAATATTCGCCTTTGGGGCGTCTTAGCTTTTTGTAAAGGTGGTTATTAAAGGCTATTGTGCCCTTACAGGTTCCAAACGCCAACGAACTCTCACCGTTTCTAAACAATATCAAATCAAACGACCGAAGAAACATTCAAAGTCTCCTATTCGAAAAAAACAGCGGAAGACTTACAATATCAAAGCTCATGTAAAAAACTTTTCCAGAAACAAGCAAACAGAATGCTCATCCTCAACTAAGCATTCTAAGAAGTTCAAAACCAAGACATTTTCAAACGAAAATATGAGACAAATTAATCAGTCCAAAAATGATGCCAAACCACCACATTTCTTTACTCAGAGACCCATTTTTCAGAACAATTACTACAATTTAAACCCAGAATTTCATCACAGTGATAGCATGGCAGCTCCACATGCAGGCAGAGAGAGATTTCTCATCCCTGCACACAACTATAGGCACACTGCAGCTCATAATATTTCTCTGATGAATCGGGGTGGAAATTTTAGACAATTAAATTTAGTTGATTCTTTCCAGTTTGATCAAAGGGGCCATTTAAGCCAACATAATTTGAATTCTAGTTCTCAGTATGATTTAAGGAGCTCAGGCCATTATGCTTTTGATCAAAGGCCTGCAGGTTTTCAGTTCCATAGCAGAACCCCTGCAGGTTTTCAGTTCCATAGCAGAACCCAGCATTGGCCATAATAGATGTTTTTCTTACTGTTGCTTATATTACATTTAGTGATTTGAGAGCATTTCTCTTTTCCTGCAAAATTATCTGAAAATAGGCATAGGGAGGCTCATGAAGGACAATTCTATTAGGTATGCTCTGTAACTTTGTGACCCTGTTTTTTGTTCAAGGTTCAAATAAATGCGATGTCATGAGCACTGGGGGCTTTTCTTATGTACATACCATCCAATTCCAATGTATTTATATCTCTAACACCTAAATGTTACTTTTTTGCATTTCTACCACCCAAATCTTTTATATAAAGCACGCCTATTTTAGTTTTTAGAAAGTGAAATACTCCTTTTCATGCATAGCTAAGGTGCCCTATATGTAAAATATAAGTTTAGGGGTTAGATTTGTAAATGTAAAGGAATTGAGTGGATGTATATATATATCTGTTAGTGACATAAGGCCATACCTTTTTTTGGGCAGTTATTTATTTATTAAAGAGAGAACAACGACCTGGTCTCCACTGATTACCACCAAAGCAGAATCGATGCAGCATATCCTCACTAACGCACCATCCTCCTCCCACATATGTGCAGAGCTCTCGCCATAATCACTGTGGCACGGGAGAGCTTCCCTTGTAAAACTTCTATAAGAAGGAAAGCTAGGGCAGAAAGAGGAGGTATGGGAGTAGGGGAGAAATGCTAGAGTTTATGATGTAATTCACTTATCGGGAGAAAAGTGCACTGGATAATATTGGAATCATCTTTTCCTTTATGCTATCAGAGAGTTGGAACTTCAAAGCAATCGATCAATGGATTCTTCAGACTCCTCCACGATCAGAACAAGCTCCAATTCGGCTGCATCTCTCATTCACATGAAGGAAATCTGCATACCCACATCTCTGAAGTTCTTGATGTCAAACATCATGATACTAGAAAATTCACCTCTGCAATAGGACAATTATCAGGCATGGAAAACACATAATGAAACTCTTTAAAGCAAATGGATTCGAAGAATTTCTTGCAGAGAATTCTCCCAGCCCACCAACTTTCATCAGAAATGAGTCTGGAAGTTTATTAGAAAACTCAGATTTCAAAACTCTGGCATTTAGTTAAATCAAAATCTCACAACAACAATGCTATCAACTATATCCACATCAATTTTATCATATGTACTCAATCTCAACAACACAGTTGAGATATGGGCAACAATCGAATGAAGATTTCAATCAGCAAACATATCCAAAGTGATCCAACTGTAAAATGATCTTCATAACATCACAATGGGAAGCAACACCTTGTTTCAATACTTGGCTAACATCAAAACTATAATTGTTAACATTGTGGCTGCAGGAATTAAGATCGATATAGAGGATATCATTTTCTACACACTATATGGGTTACACCCCAATATCAAGGTTTCAAAACCGTCATACACACACAGCTTTAATGCCATCAAAATTGAAGAATTTTACTCTCTACTTTAAAGCAAGGAATCCAACTTGGCCACCGAACAATTTAAATAAGAACCCACCACAACCTTATATATCAGCAAAATCAAAACCAACACAACACACCCACCCAAAACCAATTACAAAAACCCACAACAGTCATAGAAACTCTCCAAAGACCACAACACTTAAAACAAAACCAAACAACTCGTTACCTACCAAATATGCCTCAAACTAGGTCACTTAGCCTCCTAATGTTGGCACAGAACTAACCTCTAGTACAAACCCAACACAAACCAAAACCACACAACCCTCACAACTACAAACAACTAACACTGGATCCTTGATAATTTTGCCACTGCGCACATCACACCAAACATAGAAAATCTACACTTCCCACATCCATACCAAGGCACAGATCTAATTACAGTAGGAAATGGGAAGGTCACCAACATATCCCATACGGGATCGAGCATCCTTCCTACTCCCACCAGTAAGCTCAATTTCTCATCTCTACTTCATGTTCCACATCTCTCACACAATCTCATATTTGTCCAAATGCTAGCTCAAGGCAATAACTGCATTTTGTCCTTTGATGCTAAACATTACTAATTACAAGACTGAAAAACAATGAAGACCCTCCTCATAGGACCTATTAAGCAAGGTCTATACACCATACGAGCTCTCCACACTTCCACTTCCTCTTTCAATTGGCATCAAAGACTCAGTCATCCCATTATCGCACAATCTCAATCATCTCAAGACAATCTCCCCAACTACGCATCTCCAACCCTTAGTCACAATGCTCAAAATGTCATCAGAACAAGAGTCATAGACTAGTCTTTCCTACCAGTAGTATTGTGTATAAACGCTTAGAACTTATTCACTTTGATGTATGGGGCCCCATCCCACTTCTCTCAATTAATGGATATAGATATTATGCTTTCTTTATAGAAGCATACTCTCGCTATTGTTGGATATTACTTATGTATAGCAAATCCAAAACTATCTCACACTTCATTAACCTTCACAAATACATATTAAATCAATTCAATAAAAAATACAAAGACTTCGAACAAACAATGACAGAGAGTACGCCTCTCTGCCATTACAACAATATCTTCAAATTCATGGAATAAACTCCGATTCTCATGCCCATACACACCGCAAAAAAACGGTTTAGATGAACACAAACACATACACATCACTGAAACGGCTAGAGCCATGCTCAACACCGCCCATTTCCCTCCATCCTTTTGGATGGATGCCATTCAAACAACTATTTACCTCATCAACATCCTTCCCTCCACAAACACTAAAAACAAGTCACCTCATGAACTACTTCACAAAGGAAAACCAACATATGATCACCTTAGAACATTCAGATGTGCATGCTTCCCCTGGCAAGCACCCAGATGACCAACAAACTTCAACCCAAAGCACCCAGATGCGTATCCATTGGTTACAACCCCTAATACAAAGATTACAAATGCTGGAACCCCTCCACCAATAAAATCATCATATCAAGATATGTCACATTTACAGAAACCTTATTTCTCTTTATCAACCCAACCTCATTCAAACCATAATAGCAAAACCCGCATTACATCCACCAACCTCGCTACTAGATCCCACCTCTACTCTCTCCCAACCCACAACACCAAAAACTTCATCACAACAAGACAACAAACCTCAACCTCCATCAACTTAACAACACACATCACCACAACAAACAACAACCAACCCCCACTACAAACCCAACCACCAACACGTCACGTGATAATCAGAACCAAAACAGGCACCCTCAAACCCAAACAGATACTTGGCCTTACTCATACAACCAACCCCATTGAATCCTCCTCTTACTCTCAAGCTCGCAAGATTCCACATTGGTGTTAAGTCATGTCTACGAAGTTTCTCGCACTTCAACAATAGGGTAATTGGTCCATAGTACCACCACTAAGGATCGCAACATTTTGGGCTGCAAATGGACGTACAAAATTAAAACTCACGCTGATGACACAATTGCCAGATACAAAGCATGTTAAGTGGCTCAAGGCTGTGCTAAAAAATCGGGCATTGACTACACAGAGATTTTCAGTCCAATGGCAAAGTTCCCTACCATCCACATGCTCCTGGCTCTAACAGATGCACACAAATGGGAGGTTCATCAACTCGACGTATCAAATGCTTTCCTTTACGACAAACTAGATGATACCATTTCATGCATAAATTCCTAGGATTTAAGGACCAACAACATCCAGAGTTCGTTTGCAAGCTGCACAAGGCAATTTATGGGCTAAAATATGCACCGAAACACAGGTACTCCACATTCTGCATATATCTATATAGCTAGCACTTTACACTTAGCACAACCTCATCTACAACAAAAAAACAACATTCAAACATTCCTACTAGTATGCACAGATGACATCCTCATTACAGGCAACTCACCCACACACATATCATCTTTACTTCAACACCTAAGCAACCAATTTCACATTAAACAACTTGGAGCCATCTCCCACTTCTTAGGCCTTCGCGTTCAACACACAACGAATGGAATTTTCATTGAACAAGCCAAATACCTCTCAAATATAATTCAGGCCATCGGAATGACTGAATCCAGATCTCTCCTCACACCTGTCCCTTCCTCCACATATCGCATGAAAGAAAACATTCCCTACAGCGAGCCTCATCAATTCCTAAAAGTAACCCGTTCAGATGATCACATGCACCGTAAACTTCCTCAGCTAATACATGCATGAAGCACTCACACACCATTAACAACTTCTCAAAAGGCTTCTTCGTTATATAAATGACATACACAAATATGAAGTACAAATCGTCTCAGGTGACTTGTCTCTTACAGCCTATGCAAAAACATATTGGGCCACTAATCCAGACGACATAAGATCTACTACTGGATTCTGTACATTTCTCGGACCAAATGTCCTCTCCTTGTCGGCCAAGAAACAACCAACCGTCGCACGATCATCCGCGGAAGAAGAATGCAAATCCCTAGCTTCCATAACAGCAGAGCTATTGTGGCTCTATCGATTACTAAAAGAATTGTTACCCTCAAATCTATCTTCCACACCTATATACAACAACAGAACTTATGTCATCGCTATGGCATACAACCCAGTTTTCCACGCAAGAACCAAACACATAGAGGTGGATTATCACTCTACAAGGGACCACATCAAGAGAGCCGACATAACACTTCATCACATCATGCCAGTTGACCAAGTCGTCGACATCTTCACCAAAACCCTATATTGGCGTCCAAACATACTCTTCTCTCACACAAGTTGACACTCCATCAATGCTCATTAGCTCAAGAAGGGGTAAAGAGAGGAACAACAACCTGGTCCCTACCGATAACCATCATAGCAGAATCGGCACAACATATCAACGCACCATCCTCCTTTCACGCATGTACAAAGCTCCCGCCATAATCACTATTGCATGGGAGAGTTTCCCGCGTAAGAACTTCTGTAAGAAGGAAAGCTAGGACAGAAAGAGGAGGTATGGGAGAAAGTGATAAATGCTAGAGTAAATGATGTAATTCACTTATCTGGAGAAAAGTGCATCGGATAATATTGGGATTATCTTTTTCTTTATTTATTTATTAATTTGTTGTTTTTCTTTATGAAATGAACTATTTAACAGTTTAGTAACAGTTTTTAAGAATTACAATGATATTCTTAGAAGTATTTTGATGAGAAAATAATGTAGTAGTATAATTATGTAATCTTAGTCAAGATTTAGAAAACCGGACCGGACTGGCCGGTTTAACCGCGAACTTGTGGCCAGTCTGGTCCGAATCATATAAAAA